CAAAACACCCCATCCCAAATCCACCCTCTCGGATTTAATTATGTATCCTGCTGTGTTAACGGTCTTACTCCCTTTCTTTGTCCTCCTTCTACCTGCACCAGACTTCACAGGCCAGGCCACACACGCAGAAATGCCTAGCAGCTACAGAGTGTACTGGAAGTACTCTGCTTAGGTTTTGGACCAGTTCATACGGTATTGCTATTAACTCTGGAATTACGACAAAGCTGTGTTAGAGTCAAATTGGTATCATCTGGCCTAATCACTTCCTAATTTTGCAGAGCATTCCAGGGGTTTTATATCCCATAATTTTCTTTAAGTATATTATGAGCAGCAACATTTAAGGCAATGCCAAATTGTACAGTTTTCATTTTGGCAAGCAGTCCCTGCAAGTGTTTTTATATTGGTCCTGTGTACGTATTCGCTTCTCCCTCTATTTTACCCGTAATTTAGAGGTAAGTACTTACCGTTCCCTCACTGCTTCCCAGGATCCAGACAGTGATGGGGGGCTGTGAAGGTGCCTGTATGTTTTAAGCTGATCTAGTGCCTTTGCCCCAGTTTGGTCTGCGAGTGGTGGGGAGGGACCCTTTCTTCTGCATCCACTTGCACACTTTGGCGTTACGTTTCTTAAAGGAAGAAAAGCAGGTTTGAAATGTTGCCAGGTGGGGACAGAGGTGCAAAAGCTGTTTAACGTGGACAATTCACTTTGGTTTCTCAGCGCCGTGCTTTGCCCGGCTGTAGCTGGAGCAGCCCAGTGTGAGACAGGAAGGCATCGGGATGCTCTTGAAGCTCACAGGGCAAAGAGGGGCTGTGCAGCACAAACGGGAAACCCAGTCCCAGAAGAGGCTGTGCTGGGGATGTGAGCAGGATGTGGCAACCACATAGCGGTCGGGTGCGCTAGTCGCAGCCTTGCTGTGGGAGGCCGGATGGGCACGATGTCACCTCCTTGCAGCTCCTTATTTAAAGGACAAGCTTTCTTCTGAACTGGCAGAAGCCACACTGAAGCCTTAACTACCCCTTAGGTTGAGCTAGTGTGGATGGAGGGTGAAAAAGGAACTTGGAAATACTAAGATCAGAAGCTACGGCTTCGCTGGCTGATAAATACATATTATTTCGTGGGGCTTTTCCCCTGCTGCTGGGCAGAGATTACCCTCATGCACATCTGTGTGAGGAATATGGAGGTGAAAGGCTTGGTAAGTCGTCGCTAGCACTGCTGCTGCCCAAAATTCCAATGCACCATGTATATAATGGCTCACAAAAAAATCTCGCTGAGGAGGTACAGAGAGACGTGATGAGCACTGGAAATGTCATGTCTGTGGCACGCTGCCAGAAGCAGCCATTTTACCCACACGTGCACTTTCAGTTCATTACGTGCTCTGCTGTGGATGGTTTCCTTCCCTCACCTTCAAATAAAGTCTGTGTTGACTCTGGAAGGGCTGATATCTGGGAGACAGATCCCAAAGCACCACCCGGCGCTGGAAGAGAGTTTGCGTTTGGGCTTCAGCACAAAGCTTGTTGCACTTGGTGTGCACCTGTGCGAAGCTGAGGGTGATGAAAAGGTACTACCTGAGGGGATAGTGGAGTAATTTGCACATGGAGCTGCTCCTGCAGCCAGTTGGCCTTTGGAAGGCTTGTAGCATCGGTACCCAAAATAACAACAAAGCCAAATACTCTTTCAGGGAAAATTATAGACAAGTAGCTAGAAAGAAAAAAGTTTACTGTGAACTTTCAGGCTTTTTTTCATCATGCCTCTGGTACCTAGGTGCGCCTCAGCCTGGCAGATTTTGGACCTGATACCCTTTCCCACCCAGTTCCTCGTTTACTTTGTTGGTGCCTATTCTCTGTGCTTGAAATCCCAATTTGCCTCTATGGCTGTATGGATGGGGGATGGTTTCAGACGTCCATTTTCTTTAAAAAGAAAAAAAAAAAGAAAAAAGTGATCCTTGAAGTGTGACATAACTCTAAAGCATTTCTGCTGCGCAAAGGAATTTGTAATTTTACTGAGCTAGGGAATACCTTGTAGAAAGGTTTTTTTTGTGTGCTATATTGTAACTGTTCTCAGACTCAGATTTCACTCATCTTAAAAGATTGTTTCAAATTTAATCAACTAAAATTTATGTGTTTTCTTTCCTGATTACTTTAGTCGCCTTTCAGATTCTTTCCCAAATGCAAAACTACTGCAATCAGTATCTCTGATGATAATAACAGTAATAGTCTAAAATAATTCAAAAACCTCAACATGTGCAGTCCAGAACTGAACAAACTTTATTGAATTAGTTTGATGGTTGCCTATTCATGTTTTTTGCTGCCTGGATTGTAAGAGCTCAGTAGGTTTTGTTTTCACAAGCAGCAGGTGTCCTCCCGGACAATGCCAGAGAGATTAGTCGAATGGGGACCAGGGAGTGTTACGAGGTGGGCTCGGCTGGCCTGTCCTCCTTTCATCCCCTGCAGTGTCCCCCAGTTCTGCAGAGGGAAGGAAAAGAACAATATAATGGGCCCCTTCAGCTATTTACACACTTGTGCCATGGTGGTACAATGTTTTAAGTGTTCAACAGTGAGAGTAAAAAATAACTTGAGGGTAAAGTTAGAAATTGCAGAGGGTAAGGTTAGTGAAACAAAGCAAATGGGACTTTGGAATAAATCTCTATGTCGTAGTTCCAGGAATAGAGGGAAGCCTGAAAACAAATGTGCAAGAAAAACAGCTGAAAAATAGCATTGTTGTAATAAAAGTTGAATTTAGGGCTTCAAGCATTAGTCATTTAATCATCATGGCAATGGTAGTAGTACTGTTTGGGAAGAAAAGAGTGGAAGGAAAAAAGCTACATTTTGTTATGCTAAGGTTCGGTTCCTAAAAACCTTAAAATTGCTTTGTTTGGAAAAATTCCCTTCCCTGGGCCTACTCCCAAAAACCAGGGATACAAAACTGCAGTTCTTCTCTCTCTACTTCTAAGATGATGCTTTTCCATAGCCAGCATCCTTTCCCAAGAAATACTTGGTTGCAAGTTGACAGAGGCCATCATGCAGCCTTGCCCTCAAATTGTTGGCCGTGAGATTAAAAAGTCAATGAGAAATCGCTTTAGGATCTGCAAGGTTTAGGTGTAGAAAGTGAGACTGGAGACCATGAATGCAACCTATACCAAAAGGCTGCTAGTTCTGATTGGTAAACCCATGATCTGGGTTGATTTGCTAAGGATGGCAGTGTAGTGTTGTTAGAAACGTACAGCTGATGGCGTGGAAGTGGAAAGCCTCAACATCTAGCCACAAAAGAGGCAGGAAAAAAAATTCATGAAAAATAATAAGGAAAAGCAGTGCAGTGTAAACCAGAAATATCTTGCTCATGGCCAGACGAAGGCAGGACTTCTTGGTGCGTCTGGGACTCGTTTTCTGTGCGCTCCCGGGCTGTGGTGCAGGACAGCATTACTCCCTTTCCCCCTCACATAGCCGCAGCAAAACCTCTGCGGGGCGAGATGGGCTGGCTGCCTGGTAAACCATCTGTATCAGCCAGCATCTCAATCTTAAGAGCCGTGTTGGGTTTCTGCCCTGTTAAAAAACCTCAAGCCTCAGCCAAAAACACTCACCGTCAATTCTAAAATTAGTTGGAGAGGAAGCAGGGATATTAGTTCATCGTGTGCTTTCTGCCCTTCAGCATCACTTTC